TTTTTCGAGACAGGGTTTCTCTGTGGTTTTGGAGCCTGTTCTGGAACTAGCTCTGTAGACCAGGCTGGTCTCGAACTCACAGAGATCCGCCTGCCTCTGCCACCCGAGTGCTGGGATTAAAGGCGTGCGCCACCATCGCCCAGGGTGGGCTTTTTGATACAACTGTCTTCAAATTATTTCTACTCCTATAAGTAACTCCTCATCAATACTCATGTAAGAAATCCCAGGGCTGGAGAGATTGCTCAGAGGTTAAGAGCATTGCCTGCTCTTCCAAAGGTCCTCAGTTCAATTCCTAGCAACCACGTGGTGGCTCACAACCATCTGTAATGAGGTCTGGTGCCCTCTTCTGGCCTGCAGGCATACACACAGACAGAATACTGTATACAAAATAAAATAAATATAAAAAAAAAGAAATCCCAATAAAACTCAGTGGTCCACCAAGGTGGGCTTTGGTGGCATCCTGCTTTGTGGTCTGTTGTTGGGTCTGTATCTGGAGTGAGTGGATCTTTGTTTCCACATCCCCTTGAATAGTGTCACACAGATGGTGAGGGGGTCTGAATGGGTGTGGACCCCATAGACTCATATACCTGAATGTTTGGTTCCCAGTTAGTGGGCTACTTGTTTAAGAAGGGTTGGGCAGCATGATCTTGCTGGAGGTGTGTCACTAGGGGACTTAAGGTTTTCAAAGCCCACACCATCCCCAGCTAGCTCTGTCTGACTCATGTTTGTGGATGAGATATTTATTTATTTATTTATTTATTTATTTATTAGGTATACACTATTTTGTCTGTGTGCATGTCTGCAGCCAGAAGAGGGCACCAGACCTCGTTACAGATGGTTGTGAGCCACCATGTGGTTGCCGGGAATTGAACTCGGGACCTTTGGGAGAGCAGGCAATGCTCTCAACCACTGAGCCATCTCTCCAGCCCCCTGTGGATGAGATTTAAGCCCTCAGCTACGACTTCAGCACCCAGCCTGCCTGCTTACAGCCATGTTCCCCACTGTAGTGATCATGGAACCGTGAGCCCCAGATTAAATGTTTCTTTTATATATTTTCTTGGTCATGGTGATAGAAAAGTAGCTAAGCCAGATGGGGAGGAGAAGAAAGAAACCCAGGCATGGTTCCTCACAGCTCTAACCCCAGAACTGGGAGCCTATAGCAAGAGGCAAGCCTGGGATATCGGGTAAGACCATGTCTCCAAACAAACAGGAAGGGAAAGAGCAGTGAGAAGGCGCCACAGGGAAAGAAACTTGCAGGGAAGCCTGACAACCCAAGATAATACCATGTGGCAGAAGGAGTGAACCAGTTCCTAAAGCTGTCTGTCCTCTTACTGTGAGTCTACTGAACAAGAATAGAGACGGTTTCCCAAAGTCTTTCAGTAGAATTAAACAAGCTTCATTTTCTATCAGACAGAACTGTCTCTTTAAGGCAGGTTTGAAAGAACAGCCCGGACACAGAAGAAAGTGGGGCTCATTTAGATCAAAACCTGCAAGACTGGAAGGTCCCAAGGGGTTTTAGTTGTGCAGGAACTTGGCAGAACGTCTCCTCAGGGTGGAGATCAGGGTCTGGTCAGAGTGTAGGCTGTGAAACACGTTGTCAAACTCCAGAAAATGGATCAAGAGAAGGTCAAACTTGAGTGTTACAGAAAACAGGGATGAAGTGTTTTTGACTTTGTAACAATATGGCCTCTTAAATCTTAAACTGGAGTCAGGTAGGTCCATCACTTATCTGTGTACACACAAAATAAAAAAGTAAACAAATAAATGGGGGCTGGAGAGATGGCTCAGCTGTTAAGAGCACTGGCTGTTCTTCCAGAGGACCCAGGGTTCAATTTCCAACATACACTTGGCAGCTCACAACTAGCTATAACTCCAGTTCCAGGGCACCCAACACCCTTACACAGACATACATGTGGGCAACACATCAATTCACATAAAATAGAAAGAAAATAAACAAATAAATGTAAGAAAAAAACATTAAAACTGGGCATGGTGACACAAACCTTTATTCCAGCACTCAGGTGTCTGGGAAGTGCAGGATGATGCTTATTGTGTTCAAGGCCAGCCTGAACTGCATGAGACCCTCAAGACAACAAAGAAGAAAGTTAATTTTTTTTGAAAATTAATTTTAAAATGGCTTGAACTATGCCCATCAAAATCCCAGCAAAATTCTTCAAAGACCTCAAAAGAACGGTACTCAACTTCATTTAGAAAAGCAAAAAAAAAAAAAAAAAAAAAAAAAAAAAAAAAAA